CTGCATTGGCGTACAGTTTGTTCGTGCGCATACACTCGAGCACCGCTCTTAAATGAACGATTTGGTTCTCCTCATCTGTCCCCCCATGCTCCGCACGGCTATGAACGAAAATGTCGTCAAAGTATGTCTGTGCATATGCCCTGTGGGACCTGAACAACTCCGTCACAATACGATTAAATTTTGTTGGTGCATTCGACAGCCCTTGTGGTATCACCAGCCACTCCCAGAACATGTCGCTCAGAGTGCTTACCGCTGTTAGCGGAATATCACTCGCTCTCATGAGCGATTGGTAATACCCATCGACCAAGTCAAGGACACTGTACTTCGTACATCCCACCATGTTGTCCTGGAGAACATCCTTTCTAGGAATCGGTGTCTGTGCCGGAATGGTAGCAGCGTTGAGCTTATTGTAAGCGTGAACGATATGCCACTTGCCGTTCGATTTCCGGGCACAAACAAGGGTGCCGAAGTGGCAGACTTACTCTCACGCACCATTCCTTCGGTGTGTTTTGCACGGAAAAAGGCGTCAATGACGTCGCACTGCTCCTTGGGCAGGTAGCATTGGCGTGTCACGCAGTATTTGGTTCCCGGAACCAGGTCGATATCATGACGCACACTTCGGCCCGGAGGTAGGATCGAAGGCGGGTCTTTGAAGACGACGTCTTAAAACTCCTTTGCCAAAGGATAGTGCGGATCCAAGGGATTCCCTAGGATCGACGATCCACTCCGTGCGTTCAGCACTCTCTTGGTGTCCTTCACGACAGCTTCATCCAGCAGCGATGACGAGTTTATCTCCTCGGAGCTGCGTCCATCCCGGCAACTAAAGTGCGCATCTCTTGGACAAAGCCCACCAACTCCTTGTTGCCCTGTCGGGCGGCAGGAAGCGCGATCGAACGCGATATGCCTGATTAGGCGGCGAGAAAATTCGTGAGAGCTGCAGTTTCAGCTCCGCCCAGGAGGGAAACGCAGCTTCGACCGAAATGCCGCACGTCAGTGCCCATTCTCGCGCACGACCACCGAGCTTTG